GGGCCATGTGTGCTGTAGCTGAGAGATGAGTCTTTCTCTGCGTGTGCCCCAGCAGCAGTTGAGAGGCTCCCTAGAGTTAATTGTCTGGGGAACAGTGCCAAGTGATCTCAGTGGGGGGTGTTAGACAGGAGCTTGCTACCCTCAAGGATCTGGCAGAGGCTGACTTTAATGTCTCAACAGCTGGGCTAGGCCCATCACTCTTGCTGGGGGAGTGGGGTAAGGTTGGCCACCTTCTGGGAACACCTTTGTTTCTGTGCAAATGGAATGTGTTAAATAATTGTGATGGAGAGCCAGGTGCTTAGAACACTGCCCAGAAATTCAGAGCTCTTCTGCTAACTCACCTGGGTACCCAGACCAAATGGCTCCTATCGCCTCCAACTCGGGTGAATAAAAGGGTTAAGAGTTTCTAAGGCAGAAGGAACTAGGTAGAGACACAGGAGGTCCTGCAGGGAAAAACTCTAGGAACAACTTAACTCAGGAAGCTTGGGCTGAGGTTTATATTTGGAAGGAACTAAATTTGGATGTTCTCCAGTGCGTATGTCTGTGTTGGGAGCAGGGTGGGGATGCCACCTGCTTATGCTAGTGTATGTGCCCCTGGGAGGTGGAAGTGGGTATCTTTTGGAAACCTAACACACAGTATAAAAATTCTCAGGCAAATGCTCTTTATTCTTTGCATGAAAACACCCCACTCCCCCTGTCCCTCCTTTCTGACGATGGCTTGTGTGTTCTCTGCCTCGCACAGGACGTCCTCCCTGCGATGGAACACCGGCACCAAGGAGCGCATGCTGATCAAGGTGACGGACCGCGAGCCGAGCTTCCTCATGCACCAGGGCAACGGCTACACCACCGACAACCAGCAGGGGACCCGCTCACGGAGGCCGTCAGGGGGCCAGCAGTCCCCGAACCTGCAGACGTTTGCCCCTGACGCTGACAACTCCGTCTTCTTCCCTGAGAGGAAGCAGTCTCCCTTCTTGAAAAGGGCTGACCACGTGGGCAGCTGCTCCCCGCTGCTCGGTCGGGGGGATTCATTCTGCTCCCCGCTCCAGTCCCAGCACCGGAAGCACTCGAGTGAGTCCCAGCCATCTTCTCCTCGCTACGCCTACGAGCCCCCCTTGTACGAGGAGCCCCCCATGGAGTACCAGGCCCCCATCTATGACGAGCCCCCGGTGGACATGCAGTATGAAGCCAGCGGCAACTACAAGGCAGGCTCCCCGCAGAAATCGCCCGTCCGCAAACCCCACCCGTTCTTGCAGTCGCCCAAGCAAGGCCCCAACTCCCCCTACCAGCAGCTGGTGCTGACCAAACAGAAATGCCCTGAGCGGTTCATGAGTCTGGAGTACAGCCCTGCAGGCAAGGAGTATGTAAGACAGCTGGTTTACGTGGAGCAGTCCGGTTCCAGCCCCAAGCTGAAAACGGGCCTGCGACACAAATACTCCCCCAACCCCATAGGTGGCTCGTACTCACTGCAACACAGCCCCTGCCTGGTGAGGGACCAGCGCCTGGAGATCAAGTCTGGGGACTACAGCAGCATGGAAGGGGCTGACTTCCGACACAGCCAGCTCGTGAGCCAGGCCTCCCAGGGGGAAGACTCCATGTCATGGTCCAGTCAGCAGGACACCATGTCTTCTACAGGGTACTCACCTAGCACCAGGAAAAGGAAAAGCAGGAAGCCCTCCCTGTCCCACGACCCCAACACCTCCTCGACGGATGGCTCGGGGGATCGGGAGGTGCTCAACGAGCAGCTGATGGCAGAGGAGAGGCCCATGCCCGGCACTTACAGGCCCCAGATGAACCGCACAGAGAGCAAATCCATTGAGGCTGAGGCAGTGCGGGGCTTCCCGGAGCCCTTCCTGGCCCAGGCCCGGCTGGCATGGGAGGCGCAGCAGGCTCACTACCACATGAAGCAGCGGAGCAGCTGGGATTCCCAGAAGGACGGCTCAGGCTATGAGAGCGATGGCGCCTTGCCTTTACCTATGCCCGGCCCCGTGGTGCGGGCCTTCAGCGAGGATGAGGCCCTGGCCCAGCAGGAGAGCAAGCACTGGAAGAGGAATACCTTTGAGAAGTTGGGGTTCCCTCAGATCCTGCTGGAGAAGAGTGTGTCTGTGCAGACCAACCTGGCTTCTCCAGAGCCCTACCTGCATCCATCTCAGGTAATACGCACAGTAGGGCAGGGTTTGGCTGTTTGATCTAAGGTGCCCATCCCTGCGGGGGCTGGGCATCACACTGCTTCCTGGCGTACCACGCACTCTATAAGGTGTAAGTGTTACCCCACACTCATTTACTCACAATGCAGCACTTACCGTGATGTTGTAGCCAGATGGTATCCATCAGGGTTCCCACCTGATTCGGATCTAACACAGCCTTTGCTAGGCCTGTCAGTTCAAATGGGCGGTGGTGGAGTACAGGGCTGCATGGATACCCTGGGAAAGGCACGTGACTCTGGCAAAAGTCAGCCCAGAGAGGTTTCAATCCTGACCTGGGGCCAAGCCCCGTGGATCCCTAGGAGTCAATGCAGGGATGTTCCTCAGCGTATCCTTTCCCAGGGTTTGATCGCGGTTCGGGTAGCAGCCATAGCCCACTCAGGACTCCAGCAGGGCACCCCCACATGATCACAGGCAAAAGTAGCGGCTGCCATGCGAATGACTGGCCTAGACAGGGGCTCTGCAGGATGCTCAGCTCTGCTTTATGTACTGCTAATCAAGGCCTCTGGTTTTATTCTCCTTCTCTGTAAAAGACTCCGCCCGCTGTCACTCTGCAGCAGGATTAACTGCAGGGAGTGAGCGGCTGTCAGGCTCCAGCTGCTCCGCTCAGCTCGCATTGACTTTCTTTCTTAAGTATAGCCCTGTGCCTGAGACGTATGGGCATGCCCTGGCGCTCCTGCCATGCAGGGAGCCGGTGTGCCGATAAAAAGGGGCCTGTGAACTTTGCGGTCATTGATTCTCCCCACCTGTGTCCTGGATGATGAGGATGATTTTTGTATTGAGTGAAAAGGGAAGCTGCTCTGAAGCCAGCAGTACAATTTGCTGTCAGATCAGGACAAGGAAGGCAGGATGGGGAGTGCACTTGGCTCTTCAGGCAGAAGCTGCTGCATGGTGAAGACTGCGTAAGTGGGAATAAGGAGTGCTGTCTGCCTCTTAGCGGCTGCTTCCTTGGGATTTCCAGACTCCTCCCTACTGTTCTCTAAGGGTGGAGGGAAGCCACTCTGCACAGAGCCAGGAAGGCAACGCGTAAGGCTTTTAATTGGCCAAGGGGCTGATTCTGCTCCCACTGAAACCAGTGGAAAAGTCGCCATTGACCTCATTGGGTGCAGGATCTAGCACTAAATAACCACTCCTGAGACACTCCGGATCACAGTCGGAGCGAGACTGCCCCATTTCACTGCGCTGGTGAGCCAGACACAAGGATCTCCATGGCAGAGTTTCTATAAAGAGTAAAGGGAAACCATAAAGCATGTAGGAAAGGAAATCCTGATTCAGAACACATCCAGCACTGTTCCCGGTAACACACTTAAGAACCTTGTATGACAGGCACTAAGGAAGTGCAAAGTAGCATTCCCCTTAGAAACCGTGGAGATCTATATCCGCCCCCTCCCCTGCCTGGGTGGACCCCCCATCTGTTACTGTGAGGGCTGGGTTGGATCCTTGAATGCTCAGGGAACTGCTGTGGTGAAAGTGCTATTTCCAGCTGTAGGTGGCGAGAAGGTTTCACCTGTCTTTTCACATGCAGGACCTGGCTACATTGATCCATGCCATTGGCACCTCCAGATTAGACTCTGACTGTGACCTCAGCGGCATCTGCACCTGCAGACCTTTTGGAAATTTATATTATTCAATGGAGCTTCATATTGACAGCACATCCCTGTGGGGCTGAATGGTCTGAGCTGGCCAATGGGTACCGGTGCCCAGGGAGAATCAAAGGGATTGGCCTTTGACATATTGTATGCAGTTCTAAACAGGCTGGGCCTGGCTACCTGAGACATCTCTCTACCCAGCAGGTATCATGGCAGCTTTCACCTTTCGGGTTGCTAATAGCCTCCTAGTTTGGTGGCAGGGCACATTCCTCAACTCACTGTCCCACCTGGCCCAGCAAAGCCCTTGTAGGATTTGCCACACTTGATCAGACCTGAGGTCCATGTAGTCCAGGGTCCTGTGTGTGACAGTGGTCAGGACTAAGTGCTTCAGAGGTACAAGAAACCCCACGGTAGGTAGATGTGGGGTAACCTGCCTTCCCACGTTAGGTCTTTCTTTTAATCCCTAATAGTCAGAGATTGGCTTAAATTCCAAAGCAGGAGGTTTAATATCCCTTCCAAAAACTCTGCTGGCATTAGCTATAACTCTGGATAATCTAGCTATACATATAAATATCTAGTCCCTTTTTGAATCTTGCTAAGTTTTCGGGCACAATGACATCATGTGGCGTTGAGTTCCACAGTCTGATTATGCATGTGGAAAAATATTTCCTTTTTGTTGGTTTTGAATGTGTCACCTTCTGAATTCCACTGAATGTCCCCTTGTTATTGTGTTCTGAGATATGGAGATGTGGTGGGCGTGTTTTTCAAACAGACTCCAAGGTTCATGTGTGAGGGAGTGGAGCTTGGGGAGTTTATCCTGGCTGACTTGGATTTTGTGGGTGGGGGTCAGTCTGAACCAGCTGATAGAGTGGGTGGTTATTGTGTCCTGTGAAAATCTATCCAAGCAAATAGAGCTTTGAGAGAATGAGTAGCACTCGGGAACTCTGGGTTCAGTTCCCAGCTCAGCCACAGACTCCCTGTGAGACCTTGGGCAAGTCACTTAACCTCCTTGGCCTTCAGTTCCCATCTGTAAGACTGACACAATACTTCCCACTCTGTCTGTGTAAACTGTAAGCTCTTTGGGACAAGGGCGTTCTCTCACTGTGTGTCCGTGCAATGCCCAGTCCACAGTGGGCCCAGACCTAGACTGGGGTCTCTAGATGTGGCTCTTATACAAACACTGATGGCAGAATAAGGGGGATGCATTTAAAAGAATCCCTCCAGAATTATCTGGTCTTGGGGGGGAAAATTGAAAATCAACCCAAGTTCTCATCTTGTAGGGAAAAAACAGCTGGAAAATGTGGACTTAATTGTAGCCAGTGTGTATTTTCTGGCTGTTTTTAGAACTGTGAAAAGATTTGTGCTTGAGTATTTTCCATAGTTCTGAAAACCCTTTCTTTTGCTGATGCTGATCTTTGGAGCTGGAAGCAGGACTGCTGTGTTTCACCTTTGTGCCTACACACTGGTTTGTTGTAGGGTTGCTGAGAGTGCTGGGCTGCTGCAATTGATTTGTCTGTAAAGAAAGAAGAGCATTAAAGCTTTTTCTTCTGAGAGAAGAAAAACTCTGTATGAATAAATGCATAGGGCTTGCAAAGAGACTGAAGAGAAATGATGAGTCATGTCTTTGAGCTCATCACCACCCTTGACAGCATCTCTTTGCAGGTCAGTTCTACAAGGAAGAAAAATTGTGGTTGTGTGCTCTTTTTATTGCTTCTTGATCCATGATGAAGGGCCTGAAAGGTGTTTTCAAGAGCTGCTATTTTCTGCTTCTTTGTTTGGGCTAGAAATGGGGTGCCAGCTTCCTAAAAGAGCACCCATGGCACCCATGGAGGCCGCTAAATACTGTACTTAGCTAGGTTTTCAAAAGAGCTCAGCTTTCATTTAGATCCTTGACTGAGATGGGCTGGATTTCAACCAACTTCCAGTGTTCTCAGAGGGAGCAGGTGGGCGCTGAGCACTTCTGAAAATCTGTCCCTCGAAGTCTTCTCTACCTTATCTTTCCTGGCGGATTCCATAGATGGTTACCAAGTACTGTATCAGAGGGGTAGCCGTGTTAGTCTGTATCCACAAAAACAACGAGGAGTCCGGTGGCACCTTAAAGACTAACAGATTTATTTGGGCATAAGCTTTCGTGGGTAAAAACCCACTTCTTCAGATGCATGGAGTGAAAATTACAGATACAGGCATAAATATATATTGGCACATGAAGAGAA